AACTTAGCAATAAATCTGCTTAACTTATTAAACTTATACTCATACACATGCACGTGTAATTCCCTTGCTTCAAGCTCATATATTCTAGCTTCACTTGTCTTATAAACTGGTCATCGATGTACTTATTTTTGAACTCTTCTACAAACAATAACCACGTCACTTTATCTTTTAATATTCTTATGATGACATTTGTCCACCATACTCTAGCTTGCCCACGTAGTAACAAAACTTCTCAATTTAACTTCCCCACTTTAGAGAAATGAAAACCTTCTAACATTATCTTCATATCGTTTATTACAAAGGTTTATAACAACAGAACCTTCCTTAAATTCACCATTGAATTCGGGTGCTCTTAACTCTTTTCGATACATTCATTCTATGAGTTATAGAAGCATAAAATTGGAAACACGTCAAAATATCAATCAATATCATGAAGACATTCCCTAATCTTGTACAGGCACTCCCTGAGATTTTCGCTCTTCTCCCTGCCTGGCCAGGGTAGGTGAATGTTATTACCTTCAGGTCTATCGCCCTGTGCTTCACTTTGGAAGCTCTCATAACCATACATCTAATATAACATAACAATTTAACTCTATTAACAAGACAGTACACTCTTTACACTATCAGGTCATAAAATTTTTCACTTTGTGTTGGCATGTATACTTTTTAAAACACTTTTGACTTCATTTTTAGCCTAGAATCGGCTAAACCGTAGATATGATACCATTAAATGTAACACTCCAACCCATACTCAACTCGGATACAAGTATGAGATGTCACATTGACTTTTTGAAACAATATTCTTATAAAATAACAAAACATTTGAACTTATATCAATAAAACACGATCATATATTGTTGAATTATGTTCGTTATAACAAATTTGAAAAAAATACTTTTTCATGAACAATACTATACAGTATGAACAGTACCATGAATAGTAATAAACAATACCATGAACGGTGAACAGTGTACCGATGCACTGTTATAGTTACATGAACAGTGTACCAATGCACAAAAAATTCGAATAAAAAATGTTTATCAATGCACTGCTACAATAACTTTGGCAAAACATGTATAAAACTCATAAAATTTAAGCTTTCATCACTATAAAATTTCCATTTACATATATACATTTAAAACATTACAAAACTCTATCATATGATTTTACAAAACCGATTAGAACATATTAGATTCAAACATTTATTTACATGCCAACCACTATAATTATTACAAAATACATACTATTAACTTCTTTTTTGATATGATCTTTGGTAAGGATAAGCTGACATGTCTTGCATAACTTTTATCAATCTTCCTCTTCTCGGAACCTATGCGTGAAACAATCACATGCTAAGTCATTGATTTAGTGAGGCATATAAAACATATAATGAAAACCATATAACATTTCATATAACAGAGTACATACCTGTACATATATCATCTCACAAAGAAACACCCATAGCATCATATAATTCATGTAATACATTTTATATCTCCACAAGCATATGCATCTCATATATTGTATTTGTTATTATCTCTTTACTAGCCCATGTACACCAGTGAGAACTTAAGGTATGTGAGTATATTGAGGTTGTGCACTAATGTTGTCACCACAGCTCGTATGGGGTCCTACTAGGGGCATATGAAATTTATCCCGAAGGACCTATGTAACTGTCCATATGTTCCGAAGAACATAGGTAAACTGTCCATATGTTCTGTAGAACATAGGTAACCCTCGACTCTTGGCATGCAAACTATACCACTAGCTCTCATATCATATAACATGGGTATTATCATTTATACATTTCATATCACTTGTTCTTTCTCTTCTATCACATATCACATGTATGTATAACCATATGTCTCATATCATATCACATGTATCACAAGTGCATGTATTCACGTAGATCGTTTCATTTAGCTTATATCATTTCTCATTTGTTCATGTAAACTCATATGTCATATCATATAACATATATCACATGTTGCATTCTCACATAAGTATGTAAATCATGTAACATATAATAGCATACATCCATTTCTATGTACTAATGCACATATCATAATCACATAACATTTTAGAAGTTACTTCTTACCATAGTAACTCTGTCACTGGCTCATCGCAAGCCAATGTTTGATCAATAACATAAGTACAATTAAATTGCACTCACCTTAGCATTGCTTTGATTCGATTCAAATTCTTTGATTGTTCTAGAACTTGTTTAGGCTCAATATATACATAAACAAAATTTCTGAGACAATTATCAGAAGCCTAAACCTTATAACTCGGTATTAATAACTTAGGCTAATTTAATAAACCGAACTTCAACTTTTCCTTTAGGAGTGTACCGATGCACTGTGGGTGAATCGGTACACAAATTAGGTTCGAAATTCCCATGCATTGATGCACCCCTTAATGTATTGATACAGCTTCAAAATTTGTCTTAGTGCATCGGTACCCATTCATAGTGTCTCGATGCACCTGTCAATTATAAATTGGTTTCACTCGAAAATTCTACAACTTTTCATTAAATTTCCTCATATAAAACTCCTTTCATACCATTAAACTCAACTACTATTACTTAAACCAACTTATATCCATATAAACCATCTTTATCTTCCATATCTCCTCATGATTCTTAAAATTAAGAATCATACCCAAATTTTCATTTAACACTTATAACTTCTTATTCACACCTATAACAAGTCAAATTCAACTTCTAAATTCATTTATACATCCTTATTCAAAATTTCACTTATCCACTTCTTATCTTTAATCCTTCATAACTTCTTCATCTTTTGATTTTAAGACAAATTAAGCTTTCCTGAAACTTAATTATCATCTAAGGATCAAAACCCATACTAAAATTTTAAGGATTAACCAAAATAAATCAAACTTACCTTGGGCTTGGGACTTCACGTTGAAGAAGAGAAGAAGATGAAGAAGAAGATAAGTCTGGAAACTTATCTCTTCACACATGCATCACATAGGTATTATAATACCCACTAATTATTATTTAATTATTTTTCTTGTTCAATGACCTATTTGCCCTTTGACTCTTTTAATAATTACTAACAACCCTTCAGGAAATACTTTCAAATGAATCATTAAACTTTTCAACTTTTTCACTTTAATCACCAAATTCTAAAATTTTACAATTTAGTCACTAACCCGTAGTTTGGGATGTTACATTTCAAGAACTTATGCATGTGTGACATTCTAATCATAAGAATTATATACATATGTATTTGGTGCAAGGTACATTTTAAAGGACGTCTGTCAGATTGTTCACTATTTTTGAATAAGATCCAAGCATATTTGGGTTATTAAGTCTTCTTGACATTTAATATCCTATCTCTTATCTTTCCAACGCACTTTGAATCATATCAATCCGATATCGGGAGCTCAAGATATTCTCAGATTACCGAAGATTATGCATGCTAGAAATTCATACGAAATTTGCAACCATTCATCACTTTGTTGAATTTATGAACGGGTGGCATTGATGAAGAGATGCATGGACCAGAAGTGACCATTCAAATAGCATCACATTCAGCCATGTAAGGTGTACATTCATCCAAGGCAACCCAAGAGCCTTTGTTCACACACTAAGAGGAATGAATGTCATCATTCATGAATCCACAATCAAGAATCAAGCATGAATGGCATGTAAAAGTAAGGAGGATGAATTCACTTTAATTCAAATACATTCATCAACATGCACATTCTTCCAAGACGTGTGGATCCAAGTGCACGTAAAGTAGCCGAACCATCATGTTCACTTGGGATCCTAATTTATGCAAAGGAGCCGAGCCATCTTGTCTACACCAAAGAGGAATGAATTCGACCAAGGGGATTTAATTCATTTAGAAGATAAACATGCATTCATCCAATGCATTATTCTTGTTCACATTAAGATTGCATTGTATCTACCTAAGGGATGAACATTCATTCATGAATGTTCACTCATTAAGGCCTTTTACTTCATACCATGCGTGCATTGTATCATAGGTAATCTTAAGGCTTATAATAGCCAAGCCTTTCATTTGTAAAGCAACCAACTTTGTTTAATCAAAACTTGTGATAATTTTCTCTTTAATTCTTAAGTGAACTTTATCGACTTATCAAACTTAACTTGTCGCATCAGCCCTCTATTTTCACCCTGATACTTATGTTTCCTATCCCATTATAGATAGTGGGACAAAGTCCTTAAACTCAACCCCTCAGTGTTATCTTATAAGGTATGGAGCTTAACTTTAATATTGCTTTGTATATTCCTTAATACTTGAGATACTATATATCAAATTCCATCACCATCGCCATACTTCTATTATCCATCTTCCATTCAACCATATCACCTTATATACTTCACCATATCTTTTCATACATCTAATCATCTTCATCTATAATTTCCGCAACCATCTCAATCTTTTATTTCATTAGCTTCCATTAATCATTTTCTTTGAGTCATCTGGTTTGTGCAAGGATCCTTGTTGCCTTCCTAGATTAAAATAATCAAAGGCAACCTTATTTTCGACAACTAGATCGAAACAATCAAAAGCAACCTTATCTTCGACAACAACATTCGTTGGAGCCAGGGCAACCTTCATCATAGGAAGATCTTCATGGAGATTGAGAGAATCAAATATTAGGGTTCAATTAGAATATGTTTTGCATTTTTTTTACAAATGTTTTTATTTTTTATATAATTAATATTTATACGAATTAATTACTACTGTAATGATGTGATTTTCTTTGAATCTTTGTGACCTGAATAATTGATATGATGAATAAATAGTGGAAGTAGTGATGATTATAGTAGTAAAAAGAGGAAATCATGGAGAAAAAAAAGAAAAATCGGAATCCATGTATAAGTGTGTGATGATATGATCTCAAGCCAGAACTTTAGCCATTTGCATCACCATCAACTTTTTTATAATTAATGCAACTGCACCCACTACCATATATGATGCAAGACGCTTTCTTTTTCTTCTTCTTCTACATTCGGGGGGTTGGATTTCTATCATATTACTAGATCTACTTTCTTCAAAGCTCAAACAGCAACCAATGGTTCGGCTTTAGAGGTCTTGGAGGTGGTTGAAGAGGCATGGGCATGGCGGTCCTCTCTCTTTGAAGCCGCTGCAATTGCATTCTTTTCTTTTCTTTCGTCCTTCTTCATCTGCTTTTCTCTGCACTCGAGACTACAAAACGCCGTATCCCCTCTGCAAATAGAAACAAAACGAAGCTCACTGAAAAGGATTTAAACTAGAGTTAAACATGGGGAAGAAAAGAAGGGTAATTTACAAGTTAAGAAGATGAAGTGAAAAAGGAGAAAAAATACCTATACATATATATGTCACGACCAGGAGCTAAGCGGCGATTACAAAGCCAACAAGATTGCAAAAAAGGAGATGCGGTTGTGGTCCCGTCGACTACACCGTTAGTAAAAGCTGATCTTGCAGAAGCTGGGTTTCTGGGAGACACCGTGGCCAAGAAACGTTGGTCGTAACGGGAGTTACCGTCGGGGAATTCACGGTGTTGAGGGGGGAGGATCGGATACAATTGGGTTTTGCTCGATGACTTCCTCCACGTTGGACGTATCGACGGTGATCGCCGACATGCTTGTGGTTCTCTTGATCGGCTGGCGTGTTCGTTTTCCGAGCAACATCGTGTGTTATATATCTGTTTCTTTGTCGATGGATTTGTTAAGAGAAAGGAATGAAAAAGGCGAGAGAGAGAGGGAGTGAAAATGGAAGAAAGGAGAGCAGATAAATTAAGGGAGAAGGGGGAGAGAGAGAATCTAGGCCGTTACTTGCGGGCACAGGGTCTCAATGAAGCCCACCTCAAGCTTTATTTATTGCTTTTTATTTATTTTTCTCCTTCAGCGTCACTCTCCCTTCTAGATGAAGCAATGGACCGGAGTTTTTTTGTTGTTGAGATTTTGATTAATTGTATTTGAAGTCAAAAGTTCAAATAAAATGGCTTAATATCTCAATTTTAAAAAAAATTAATGCGGTTCTTGAATAATTTTTGTATTTATTAGACATTCATTTAGAAAAAATTCAATGTGATATTTTGATCAACAATTTCTGTCGTTGACTATTATAAAACTGACATGGTAATTCACAGTACTGACATGACAATCAACGATGTGGATATGATGATTCACGGTGGAACATGGACTAAAATAATTTTTTATTGAATTTGAATATCAAATTAATTTTTTAAATTCAATGGTTTATTTAATTTTTAAAAAATAATTAAAAATTAAAAATATTCAAAAATATTCAAAAATAAAAATTAAATTATTAAAAAATAAAAAAAATATATTAAAAATACTAAAAATAGTATTCATATTAACTAAACATATATAAAATGTGACCATGCCCACGTATACCTTCGGTAGGAAGAGATACTATAAAGCGGTTACTTTCGATGTTTGTTCTCGAAAGAAATTAAAATATTATCAATTAAATTCTCTCATGAGTTAACAGCTTCTATCTAAACATAAAAAATATGGGTAAAAAGAAAAAAGTATCAAATGTAACATTCTAATGATGTTTACAAAGATATGAAGTAAGACATATAATTTATGCTTTTGTTATATTTTTTTAATTTTTGATAACTTCAAATTTATTATTTTATAGTTTGGGATGTATTTTTAATTTTTCATTGACGTTTTTAATACTTTAATATATATTTTAAAACTTTTAGTAATTTAATATTTATTTTTGATATTTTATATTTAATAGTTTTATATTTTAAATTTTAAATATTTTTTCTAAAAAATAAATAACCCCTTAAACTTAAAACAATTAATTTGGTTTTCGAACTCGACCAAAGAAAACTAATTTAATATATATGCCACATCATTAGTGTCGGAACCGTCTTTCGGTTAGTCCCCAAATTGGGCTTCGAGTTGAATGAATTGGATTAGAGTCGACACCGATCACTTTTACGAGCATTTAGGTGGATCGAACTCCATTTTATCTGATATGCGTTTTATCATAGAAATGTCAGGTTCGGGAGTCGGTTACGGTCAAGGAAGGATTAGCACCCTTGAACCGCCCTTTCAGTACCAACTAATTTGTCAGTTGTCTTTAATTGCGAAAATTAAAAATTAAAATTAAAAATTAAAATACCCGATTCGAATTACTTACCTTTGATCGATTGAAATTTCTATATCAAGGTAAAAAAATGTTGGAAAAAACATAAGAATGAAAAAAAATGATAATAACAATAAATCAAAGAAAAAAATCAATAAATCAATAAAAATAAAAATAAAAATAAAATAAATAAAACAAAAATAAATAAATAAAATAATAAATAACCTAGAAAAATAATATCATAAAATATAATAAAAGAAATATATAAAAAGAGTAAAATAAAATAAAGGGACAAAAAGAAAATAATAATGAACATAACATACATATACATTAAATAAATAAATAAAAATAAGAACAAAACAACAAAATTAAAATATGAATGTACCAAATTGAAATAAAAACAAACTTGGATGATTGAGGCATGAAATCTCCCTTTTGAATCATAAAAACACGTGCAGCATTAAACAACCAAAGTTTTGGTTTTTAAAACCATGCCTCGTCTATCTCAAATTCGAAAGAGGGAGAGGATCTGGAATTTCAGTGGTCGAGCGTCGTATGCCACTGGGTTTTGGTCTTCGTTTGATTCTATGCTTCACGGGGTGTTTTGTCTCGACGTTGGAGACACGAATCTAGCCTCCATTTTACACGAAATGATCGATAAATGTTTCGGCTTTCCCTCCCTCGGTTTTTCCAAATCGTTGCACCTTCCTCTGATTTTGGTTCCACGTTTTTCTCTATCATTTCCTCTTGATGCTTGAGTCTATTTATAGTCTAAAGAAACCTATTTTTAGCCCAGATTTAGAGTCCTACTTGGACTCAAAATGCTTCGATTTTAGTGTTTTAATAGGACTTAAATACGTTAGTTTGTTTTCTGAATCTCACTAAATCAGGGTTGTTGAGTGTGGGGCCAATAAAAATAATAAAATAAAAAATATTAATAATAATAAGAAATAAATAAATATATAATATAATAAAATGTTTTTGTAGACCCGGACAAAAACGGGTGTCTACAGCTGCCCCTCTTTGCACATTTTTGTATTAACAAGAATAGGGCAAAGATGAAAAAGACAACCAGTTTTTGTCCGGTTCTCTTTGATTTGAGATTTGATAGTGTTTGTTGTGACACTAAGTCGATCCATTAGGCACGATATCCTTCTTCGTGAAGTTGAATTTGTGGGTGAATCGGAAAGTGACTCTTTGTTGCCAATCTTGGTCGACCTTGGTATTCTTCTCGATTTAAAGACCGGGTGTAAAAAATTGACCGGAAAGTAGTTCCTTGCTGATGCAACGCGGTTGATACGCCCTCGAGCTGAATGGAATCGAACTCGAAGGTCTTTGGCAGATAACCCTTCTAGCCTTGTGTTATGCTGCAAATGATGTGCCCTTGAAGCTGAGTGTAATCGAACTCGAGGGTCTTTGGCTGATAACCCTTATAGCCTTGAGTTATGCTGCAAATGATGTGCCCTCGAAGCTGAGTGTAGTCGAACTCGAAGGTCTTTGTGTTTCAAGAGAAACATTTTCAAAGGTTTTTTTTTGTGTTTCAATAGAAACGATTTCAAAGGTTTTTTTGTGTTTCAAGAGAAACGATTTCAATGGTTTTTTTGTGTTTAAAGAGAAACTGTCTCCAGGGAGACAAAATTTTGTTTCAAGAGAAACATATTTAAAGATTGGTGTTTCAAGAGAAATTGTCTCGAGAGAGACAAAACTTTGTTTCAAGGGAAACTCTCTCAAGAGAGACAAAATTTGTTTCAAGAGAGACAAAACTTTGTTTTGAGTAAATTAGTCTCAAGCGAGACGACCCCTTGTTTTGAGAGAAACAATCTCAAAGGCGATCGATAATCTGCTTGTTCCTGCATGTTAAAGAAATCCTTTCAGAAGCTCTAATCGTTGACTTAAGAAAGTCAAATATGTGGATGGCATTGCTGTTTGTGGGCACAATTCCCTTCGTCATAAAGTTGAAATCGTGGATGGCCCTTTCGTTGTGAAGTTGAGCCTTGACTTGGATATCCTTCGTCGTAAAGTTGAAATCCAATCTTAAAGATGAATGTTGCTGGTGAGCACGATTCCCTTCATCGTGAAGTTGAAACCGTGGATGGCCCATTCATTGTGAAGTTGAGCCTTGACTTGAATATCCAAGCTTGTATTGTTTCGAGTCCAATATCCTTTGCCGTGAAGTTGAAATTGGCTCTAAAACTGGAAAGTTTATTGACAGACACTCCTTTTTGAGTTGGATATCCTTCGTCATGAAGTTGAAATCCAATCTAGAGATGGATACTGCTTGTGTGCACGATTCCCTTCATTATAAAGTTAAAACCGTGGATGGCCCCTTCGTTGTGAAGTTGAGCATTGACTTGAATATCCTTCGTCGTGAAGTTGAAATTCAAGCTTGTATTGTTTTGAGTTCAATATCCTTCGCTGTGAAGTTGAAATTGGCTTCGTCGTGAAGTTGAAATTCAAGCTTGTATTGTTTTGAGTTCAATATCCTTCGCTGTGAAGTTGAAATTGGCTCTGAATGAAACTAGGAAGTTGTTTGTTGACAGCCAGCTGCCCCTTCGCTGTGAGTTGAGCTTGTGTTGTCTCGAGTTCAATATCCTTCACTATGAAGTTGAAATTGACTCTGAATGAAACTGAAAAGTTGTTTGTTGACAGTCAGTCACCCCTTTGTTGTGAAGTTGAGCTTGTGTTGTCTCGAGTCTAATATCCTTCTTTGTGAAGTTGAAATTGACTCTAAATGAAACTGAAAAGTTGTTTGTTGACAGTCAGTCACCCATTCGCTGTGAAGTTGAGCTTGCATTGTCTCGAGTCCAATATCCTTCGTTGTGAAGTTGAAATTGACTCTGAATAAAACTGAAAAGTTATTTATTGACAATCAGTCGCCCCTTCGCTGTGAAGTTGAGCTTGTGTTGTCTCGAGTCCAATATCCTTCGATGTGAAGTTGAAATTGACTTTAAATGAAACTGAAAAGTTGTTTGTTGATAATCAGTCTCCCCTTCGCTGTGAAGTTGAGCTTGTGTTTTCTCAAGTCTAATATCATTCGCTGTGAAGTTGAAATTGACTCTGAATGAAACTGAAAAGTTGTTTGTTGACAGTCAGTCGCCCCTTTGGTGTGAAGTTGAGCTTGGGTTGTCTCGAGTCCAATATCCTTCGCTGTGAAGTTGAAATTGACTCTGAATGAAACTGAAAAGTTATTTGTTGACAGTCACTCCTTCGCTGTGAAGTTGAGCAACCACCACCAATTTTCGAATGCGCTTTTGAATCAAGTATCTTTCATCTTGAAGTTGAAACTTGACTCTAAAAGCTGTAAAAAAATTATGTGTGCTAAAAATGATAAATGTGATGCTCTTAAGCATGTCTAAGATGTATGCAACATGAATTAATTTTGTTTTATCTCTTGGAGGAAGCCTCATTTTTGTCTGTTGATCTTGTCATTGGAATCGACCATGCCCCATTTTCTTCTTAGGTTGATGTCATAAATTCTATATGGCCTCTCGAACTGATTGTTTTCAAGAATGTGAAATGCTCGAAACTTGGCATTATTCTTTTTTCTTCAATAGAGGCAAAATGAGCCTTAACAGCTTCCAGGACTTTTCACACTTGAGATTGTCCTGTTTGAAAATGTTTTTCTCATTTCTCTTACTTTAGGGGGGAAGAGAAAAAAGATATAAAAATGTAAGAATTCCTGTAAAACATTGTCCCTTAATTCAGGCTCGCAATTAAATCGAATCAAATTATAAACATGAGTTCAAATAATATCAAAGGAATTAATAGCTCTTTTAATGCTTTCAGAGTTATAGCTCTTTGAAAAATATTCAAGTGGATGAGTTGGCTTTAGGTTGGCCTCCTATTTAGCCACACACAAAAAAAATGTCATTTTTTGTTATTGATTGGCTTGGCATTTTAATAGGATGCGGACAAAATGAAGCAACTAGCATAATCAATTACTAGACCTTCTATTTCGGTTCTCTGAAATCTTCCATTTGTTCAAGCTTCGTAGACTCCTATAACAAAGGTAGTGCGGAAATATCGGTATAAAAATGAAATTCTTAAGTGCTCGTGTGAATTTGACTATAACAGGTGTTCCTTAACTCCCTTAGTTCATCATTACAAAAAATTTCTTATTTAGATAAATTTGATTTAATTTGCCATTGTCTGGCTAGCCGAATCCATAAAGTCGGGGCGTTTAACCAATTGCTTTAGAGGGACAACTTAATATTACAATCACTTTTTATCAGGTTTACTGAAGGGTTCATCTTATCACAAAGTCTTTAGCCTGACAATAGCAGTAGAGCAAACACCGAGTTGCCAAGTTTTCGAGCAATGTCATGGTTTGAACACAATCTATTCATAAAGCCATGGCTTTCAAGTTTCCACTAGAACCAATTGCCTTAGCGAAATAGCTCAGCTTTTACGGATTTAATTTCTTAAGATTGTCAAGAAGAACTTGTTATAGTCTAGGTGTTTGTTGAAAGTAAAAAATTTCATCTTTAGAGTTCAATTTCCAAGCAACTGACCTAAACTAGATTCACATACTCGACTATCTCATCCATAAAGATCATGATTATCACTAAACGTCTTCAACAAAAGTATAATAATGTCATATGCAAGGGACGCCCCATGTTGTCCGCTCTTATGCATACCAAATACCAAGCCTCTTGTTTATCGGTTTTTGCAAGAAAAGGGTATGATGTTCGAGCGTATCTTCTGGTAAGATCAAAGTCCTTTATTTTGTAGGCTTTTAATTGTGTTACTTTGTCAAAGATCTATAAATCCAATCATTTACAGAGTTTTTAATTCAGTTGATATTCAAAGAATTTCAAGCCTGCAAATTTAATTCATTGCTCGTCGTCTTTAAAGTAACATAAATTTATATAAATGTCCTTACAAAAACTTGAAAAAAGATGAAAAAACAAATTCAAACAAAATGCCTCAAATGATGAAATGATCTTCTTCACTTGGATGCCCCCAAGTTGTTGAAGTCGATCCAGTTCTGGTTACGCATTTTCTGCACGGTTCTCTTGAATGCAGAGTAGTTCTCGATAGTGTGCCATGGGACACCGCTATGATATTCGCATTCTCATCATACTACCTGGGGTATGGGGGCTTCATGGGTTCCACAGGGTATGGCGACACTACGTGAGTGTAAAAAAAATAAGTAAAATTCATTGTAAGTCATGTGAATAGGATCGAAATGTTCCCCATTTTGATGATACATGTGAATGTAATAAAAAAAGAGAAAAATAATGCGAAATATGCAGGAATGCATGATGCATGCAATGTTTGAGGCATTGATCCAAAAACTGTGTTGTTATTATAAATAATCCTTATTGGGGAAAAAATGTTACTTCTTAAGAGACAAAAAAACATTTTAAATATATAGACCCCGAACAGCTTCAGACTAGTTAATTCATCTTCATCCTTTTTCTGTCGCTGGTTGAATGATCTGTCGAACTGCTCCGGCTCATCTGGCTAAACTATGCAAGTGACGAGCTACTTGCCCTGCATCTCCGGTTTTCATTTTCTGCTGAGCCTGTTCCTAACGAAAGCTCCATTGGAGCCCTCCATCGATAGGAACTATCCGAAGCTTGCTTCTTGACTTCGTCAGTAATAGCATCCAGCTCAGCTAGGGTTTCGCCATCTTGTTCTCGTAATCTTCAAAAATGACTCTCCGGGATAACCTTTTCTTTATCTTGCCCCTGTAACTTTCGCCATCCCATTTTGGAAAAGTTGACTTTTGACTTGCTCGGTGTAAATCCTGGTCCATTCTGAGTATTCTCTAACCATAACTGGACTTCTGAGCTTTTCATCTCTTGTATTATAACCCCTTTGTCCATTAATGCAAATTATTTATGTTTAACAAACACGTTTTTGGTGGATCAACACCTCTTTTGAATGATGCAAATGATAAAATAAAAGAGAACGAAAATTAAAAGAGTTAGTGAGGTAAAATTAATAAAACAATCATGAAAATAAAAGTCATACCCCACATGATATCTACCCCACATGCTTATTATTCCTACTCGGACATGATCTCTATCCCACATGTTAATTTTGAACCAGTCCTAACCTCATAAATTTCTAGTGCACATGCTTTGAACAGAAAATAAAGCAGGAAATAATATCAAAGCAGCTTAGGGTTTGAAATAAGGTTTTGGGGTGGGCTCTAATTCCCTGTACTCTCCCGATTTAGGCTCTAAAAAGGTACCCGAGTTCTCCTTGTTGGTGCCCCCTTGGGCTTGCCAGACCCTTAGTCCTAAGCCCATTACAAGCTTGTGTGGACTAAGTTAAACTCGAGAGGACACATTCCCTTATGTCTGTGCAGTGAATAAATTCACACGAAGACATAAGGTATATGAATCCCGAATGCTACTTGGTAGGCTTGTGCGGAGAATAAATTCTCACGAAGGCGTCGCTTTCACCCCCACTTAAATAAGGTTCAGAGCTCGGGTATAGAGCTTGAAACAAAAATTTTGAAAATCTGAAATCATTGAAAAAAGTCAGTGCAACTATTTATTTGAAAAAAAAAATCAAAGGTAAATAATTTGAATCGAATAAATAAATTACAATTAAAATTTACTATTTTTGCATAAAAAGACAACTGAAAATTAATTATGGCCTGACTCACTTACCTGTCACAGTGGAGTCGCCAAGCTGTCGTAACCGTCTTTTGGTTGGGCCCCGAATTAGCCTTCGACTTGAATAAATTGGGTTAGAGTCGCCACCGATCACTTTTACGAGCATTTAGGTAGATCAGACACCATTTTACATGATCTGTGTTTTACCAGAGATATGTCAGGTTCGGGAGTCGGTTACGATCAAGGAAGGATTAGCACCCTTGAACCGCCCTTTCGGTACCAACTAATTTGTCGGTTGTCTTTAACTGCGAAAATTAAAAATTAAAATTAAAATTTAAAATACCCGATTCGAATTACTGACCTTTGATCGATTGGAATTTCTATACCAAGGTAAAAAAATGTTGGAAAAAAACATAAGAATGAAAAAATGATAATAACAATAAATCAAAGAAAAAAACAATAAAAAAATAAAATCAATAAAAATAAAAATAAAAATAATAAAAATAATAAAAATAAAATAAAATAAATAAAACAAAATAATAAATAATACCAGAAAATATAATAAAAGAAATATATAAAAATAGTAAAATAAAATAAAGGGACAAAAAGGAAATAATAATGAACATAACATACATATATACTAAATAAATAAATAAAAATAAGAATAAAACAAATAAATTAAAATATGAACGGACCAAATTGAAATAAAAACAAACTTAGATGATTGAGGCATGAAATCTCCCTTTTGAATCATAAAAAAACGTGCAATATTAAAAAACCAAAGTTTTGGTTTTTAAAACCATGCATCGTCTATCTCAAATTCAAAAGAGGGAGAGGCTTTGGAATTGCAGTGGTCGAGTATCGTCTGCCGCTGGGTTCTGGTCTTCTTCGATTCTATGCTTCACGGGGTGTTTTGTCTCGACGTTGGAAACACGAATCCAGCCTCCATTTTACACAAAATGGTCGATAAATGTTTCGGCTTTCCCTCCCTCGGTTTTTCCAAATCGTTGCCCCTTCCTCTGATTTTGGTTCCACGTTTTTCTCTGTCATTTCCTCTTGATGCTTGAGTCTATTTATAGTCTAAAGAAACCTATTTTTAGCTCAAATTTATAGTCCTATTTGGACTTAAAATGCTTCGGTTTTAATATTTCAATAGAACTCAAATACGTTAGTTTGTTTTTTGAATGTCACTAAATCGAAGTTGTTGAGTGTGGGGCCTGTAGAAATAATAAAATAAAAAATAATAATAATAGTAATAAATAAATATATAATATAATAAAATGTTTTGTAGACCCGGACAAAAACGGGTGTCTACAATTAGTCACAGAGAATTTTCATTTTAGCAGTACTGACCATTATATCAGCATCATGAACTGTAACAAATATCATAATGATTAACGACGAAAACAAATAATTAATAAATAATTATTAACTTTTTTGAATTTAAAAATCGTACAAAAATAATTCGATCGACATGTTAATTTATTAGAAAATTTTGAGAATCTCACGTACAACCAAATAAAAATTAAGAAATGAATTTGAATTTATACGTTTGGTATCTACAAGTATCATAATGATGTTGTTTATAATTATACTTTTTAATAGATCAATAATTCACATCATATAAATTTTATAATTTCAATATATAAAAATATGTGTATTATTTATTAAGGGTAAACTACTTCAAGTACCACCCACCTTTAGGCACAGGCTCGTTTATGCCACCAGCGTTTTAATTTTGTTAATTTTAATATTAACATTTAAGTTTAACTACAATTATGACACTCCGTCGTTGATGGCTTAACGGCCCGATGACATGGCATCTTTGCACCGTGATGTTGTTGACGTGGCTCCCTCACCAAAACGACGTCATTTTGGCATGATTGTGTTTGGTGCTAAAAAAACCTAAAACGGCTTAGTTTTTTTGAGAAAAATTATTAAATAATGCATTTGAAGGGATTTGAACCTAAGAACTTCTAAAACAAAGGTTAAGACTTAATCACCTTGCCAACTTAAATTTTTTATATAATCCTAGAAACATAATATACATAACATGAGTCAATATTCCAAAGGTTACTTTCTAAAAAACCCATGAAATTATTAAAATTCCCAAAAAAAACACCTTTAATCCTAGAAAATCTCAACAACAACAAAAAACTCCTAAATTCCTAAATATCCCAAAAAAGCATAAACTCTAAATCATTATCCCTAAAAATCATAAGATTCATTTTTTAGAATGAATTTAGGGATTACAAAAAAATCCTAAACTCTTAATCGTAATCCCTAAAATCATAAGATTTATTTTTTTGAATGAATTTAGGGATCACCAAAAAATTCATAAACTCTAAATTGTAATCCTTAAAAATCATAAAAATCATAAGATTCATTTTTAGAATGAATTTAGGGATTGCTAAAAATCATAAGCTCCCTAAAAAATGAATCTTATGTTTTTTAGGAATTACAATTTAGAGTTTATGCTTTTTGGGATTTTTAGGAATCTAGTAGTTTTTTGAGATTTTCTGGAATCTAAGGTTTTTTTTGGGAATTTTAATAATTTCATGGGTTTTTTAGAAAGTAACTTTTGGAATGCGGACTCATTTTATGTATATTGTGTTTGTAAGATTATATGAATAATTTAAGTTGGCATAGTTGATAAGTCTTAACTTTTGTTTCAAAATGTCTTTGGTTCAAATCCTTTCAAATGCATTATTTATTAAATTTTCTCAAACAAAACTACATTGTTTTGGGGGATTTTTAGCACCAAACACAGTCATGCCAAAACGACGTCGTTTTAGTGAGGGAGCCACATCAGCAACATCACGATGTGGAGATTCCATCTTATCATGTCGTTAAGCCATTAATAGTGGAGTGGCATAATTGTAGTTAAACTTAAACGTTATAGTTAAAATTGGCAAAATTGAAACGTTGGTGGAATAAACGAGCCCGAGCCTAAAGGTGAGTGGTATTTGAAGTAGTTTACCCTTTATTATATTATATTTACATTAAGAATAAACTACATAAATGGTCACCAAACTTTTAGGGCGCTTTCATTTAGGTCACCCAACTTTTAAAACTTACAATATAGTCGTTGAACTTTTTTCATTTTTAGTAAGGTCATTGATGTTGCCTTCCATTAGTTTCAACTGACGTGGCACGTTACTGTTATTTTTTAGCTTAATAAAATAATCCTTTAACCCTGTTTCAACACCCTAAAAATTTTTCCACACAAAATTAATTGAAAACCCTAAAAAATACTTCTTAATTAGATTCTCAATACATAAAGTAACCATCTTTGAGGTGGGTTTGGCCTCGAGCATTAAGGGACAAAAACATTTGGTTAAGGCATGTAAGTTGCTATTTCTCTCCGATATTAACAACAATAATTGTAGTTTTCTTTTGGTATAATAAAGATATGATCTTTCATTCTCTTCTTTTTTTTCATTTGGTTGTTTACAAAGGAATCTAAAACACATTTGATCATGGCGGTCGTTGAGAATTTCGGGTCATTGGGTCAAAATGTGGAGAATGCTAAGAAAGGCAATCTCGAAGAAGAAAAATTAACATCAATTGTTAACTTATATGGCAATGGTGATAACAACACTAACCTGTAAAATGGGTTCGATGAGAAGAATCAACAATAGATGCTTAATGAGCTTAGCAATGTCAAAAATGAGGGAAATGGTGAAATTTTGAAGAACGGAATATGTGATTTGGTTGAGATGTTGTCTAAGCTCAACCCAATGGCTAGGGAGTTCATACCCCTTTCCTTGCTAATCAATCTTCCTTGTTTCAATTTTTGATCAAACAAAGAGAATTAGAGAAATTGAAATTTTATTTTTAGGGTTTTGAGTCAATTTTAAGCGAGAAATTTTTTTAGGGCGTTGAAATTGGTTAAAAGGATTATTTTATTAAGTTGAAAAATAATAGTAACATGTCATGTCAAATGAAACTAACAAGAATTAACTTTAGGGACCTTACTAGAAAAGAACTAAAAGTTATGTGATTGTATTACAAGTTTTAAAAGTTGAGTGACTGAAATGCAAGTGCCCTAAAAATTTGGTGACCATTTATGTAGTTTACCCATACATTAACGGTGTCATAAATGCAAAATATTTGTTTGTGACTTTTTTCAATCAATTATAATCCTATTTTCAATTTTTTGTTTTCGGTACAGGAGGTTCTGTTGTGA